ACCAGGTGCGTGCATTAACAAAAATATGTTTATGGTTGTAACCCATTTCGGTCGACCCTGTAGGTGTTATTTGGCAAATAACAAATCGCATTTATTTAGACACTATTTCTGGGGCTCACTATATAAAACCTTCAGTAAGACGTCGGCAACTTGGTAACCTTGGTTCAACCCAATGATCCCAATTCTAAATCATTGTGGATTAAGTGAATCATCGACTTTAGTTATTTAGAACTTTAGGTTTTTATCTTTATATAATGATTAAGATTTTTGATACGCATTTTTTATACTTTTTTTGCAATTAAAATACTAAAACTGCATAGAAGAATCAGAGAATGATATCAACCAAATCGAAAGGTAGCTTGGTAGCACAACTTTGTATTGGAAACGAAGAAACACGTTATAAATACTTATTGAAACAGAAATAGCTAATTCACTACTCAAAATGTTAAAGAAACATTCGATTCCTACTTAACCAACTATTAGCGTTAGAAACATTTGGAAAAATGTATGCCGGCGAACTATAGTGATTAACTTTTCTTACGAAAATAGGCGAAGATGGAAGAACCCATTATTATATCTATTATCATATTTAAATTTTCGTATTCGTAAAATTGAAAAAAAATTAGGATACTAACTTCAATAAAACAATCGACATTTCATTTTTAAAATTTTACATCAACAATAACAATCACTGTTACGCTATCAATTATTAAGTTTACGACTTAAATTGCGATTTTTGCCTGACGCTTTGCAGGATTGATATGCTACTATCGGTATATAGGAACAGTCGGTTTTCCATAATTTCCACTGATTTTTTAAAACAAATTTTAGTAGTGCGCAAAAATAGTACAATTATTTTTTCCACGTACACACCCTCTCATCTTTATCTTTATCAGATAGGTAATCAAATCCGCATAACTCAAGATTCATTTATAAACTGATGCTGAGAAAAACCAAAGGAAAAGCCACTTAAGGGTTTCCATCTCGATGCGCTTCGTTGATCACGCGTTCCGCGGGGATGATTTAAAATTGTACGCCGGAATTTTCATCGGTAGGGAGTTTAAAAATAAATTTGATTTTTAAGCTACATAAAAGTTGTCATAAATATGCTCTTAGGGCTGCGAATAAAGGAATTGTTTAAGCAGATTAAGCCCAGGGTCACTGCTGAACATTTTCTTTCAGTTAAAATAAAATAACTCCAAACAGCTTTGCGTTGGAAAAGTGCTTGTAAAAACATCTGCTACTGATGGTATTTAATATCAAAGTTAATGCTAGAATTTTGGATACTTATTCATGATTTTTCAATAACAAAACAAAGTTGTAATCTATTCAGCAAAACACTTTCAAATACCGTACCTAGATACGGCCATAGATGTTTGACCTAACACCTAGGAGAGGTAAAAGGCCTTTATATTTTACCAAATTCACAGAGCAAAGGTGTAATACGAGCGTCGTAATGGGGCCAGAGGCCAGACCAGCGTATTTACCCGACTAATAGCCAATTCATGGTCCTTCGAGCAGGCCCAATCTCTCCAATTAGGTACTGGTTTATTTACAAACAAACCGAGCTCTGCCGAGGCCGTAGTCTTATGTAATTGCTAATTACATTGTGGCCAGTGTGTTTGCAAACCTCTAAATATTTTGTACAGATCAAGAGAAGATTCAATTATTTGTGATAAATTGCAATAAATGGAAGAAAATATATCGATCGAGAAATGAAATGTTTGTAATATTATCAAATCTAAACTGTATAATGTTTCCATAGAACAATGGAACTCCTTTTTTTAAATCACATTAATTAAATGAATTTTTCTTGTTCACCAATGGTTTGGAAATTTAGAATGCCTCCTGCAAATTGTCCTCGAAATAATCATTCATGTAAAGTGAAAAGCTATGTTTTAGTTATATTTCCTACTTGCTCACTGGCAAAGCACTAAAGGAAATCACCAAAACAAATGAACAAAAAAGTCTTTTGCGAGGAAAACATGTGTGAAAAACATTTTACATCTTATAGCAGATCAATTTTCTGGTTGTCTGAAGTTAAAAAAACTGGAGTATAATAAAAGACCGGAATCAAAATGTGGGTCGATTCGGCAAAGTGCACTTATATACTTATGGGAAATTTTCAACACTCGAATTTAAATTCTCTTTATGTCCAAAAATCTCAAAACCGATTTTTTTAATTAAAATTAATAATCGTTTAGGGCAGGCAGTTATAAAAGCCGCTACCTCTGCAAGACGACACTTTTTGCCCACCATTGCATATGACACTTTTGTATTTTTTGGCATCGTAAAGTGAGGGGTGATTATAAATAATTGTAATGTTTAAGATACCTTAAATAACTATTGGAATAGCTTAGGAATGGTATCATGCATGGTCATAGGAAAAAGGGGAATAAAATGAAAGACAAAACGCGACCTATGAAAATAAGTTTTTACTTAAAGAAGTACTTACTATAAATCACTTGCAAATCACAAACGAATAGCAGGTATTGGCACTTTGCTTTATTTACACATTTCGAAAATCATACAAATTGTAAATGGAAATATTGGCCATGTCCTTTTCATGGAATATATATTATTTTACAGCCTAAGCATTACAATTTGTGTTCAAAAGTAGATAGATAGGCGATTGAGAAGAAACTTCTTGGCGAATGAGCCCTAGCAGAGGGAACATTATTCACATCATCACATTATCAATTGACGCCACTTCGATACTGATAACACTGCCTTTTTTGAAACGAATATGTCTATTCGTGTCATCTGTATGGCTATTCTTACAGGTCACTTTAAATGTGGTTTTCGGAGATCGTGGAGTCTTTAAACAGAACGGGTCCTTGCCCTTTAGTCTTCAACACAGGTTTGTCGGCCTTGGCTGTTAATTTTGATGCCTTACAGGGAGTTCTTCTGCCACTTCTGAGGAAATACTTCAGTCTTACAGGTATTGCAAATTCAAATAAAAAATTGCCATTTGAATTAAATTCCCCATTCGTTCTCATGTGGAAATAAACGAAGGAAGTTTTTACAAGACAACAAATTCGAATGCAAAATTATAGGTAATTTTACAGCACTTGTGCAATTACCCCCGAATATTTTCTTCATATGCAAATCTGTCAATTTCAAGTATGCAATTATCAAACAATTACAGTGATTTTCTACGACTTAATTATTTCGATAAGCTACCAATCAATATTATATCAACTTATACCCGACAAAGTTGAAATTCCATTGTCAACGGTTAATGACATCTAGAAGTTTTCTACAAAATATGTTTCTATATTTTCTTTACAATCCCTCAGATAGGCATAAGTGTGAACCAAAATGGTCCTAATTATGAATTACAAATATGCTGAAAACGGGGACTAAAATTAAAGGCAAGAGCGACCTGTGGAAATAACTTCTTACTTAAAGAAGTACTTACGATAAATCATTTGGTTCTGAATGAATCAAATTAGTAGCCGAGGTGAAAATTAACATGAAATTCAAACGAATAGTAGGTATTGGAACTTTGCTATATTTACACATTTCGAAAGGCATACAAATTGTAAATGGAAATATTGGCTATGTCTTGTTCATGGACTAAATATTATTTTACAGCCTAAGCATTACAATTTGTGTTCAAAGTAGATAGATAGACAAACGAGAAGAAACTTCTTGGCGATTTAGCCCTAGCAGAGCGAACATTATTCACATCATCACATTATCAATTGGCGCCACTTCAATACTGATAACATTGCCTTTTTGGAAACCGAGTGTTTCTATTAGGGTTATCTGTAGGGCTCTCCTTACAGGTCACTTTGAATGTGGTTTTCCGAGATCGTCGAGGTGTTTTGTTGGTCCATATTTCCATGGTGTCCAAGCATTCTCTCACTTCTGCTTCTGTGCAGCGGTGGCAGTCCCTTTTCATTAATGTCATCCCCAAATTTGAAGAAAATGGGATGCTTGGGCAGTCTTTAAACAGAACGGTTCCTTGCCCTCTAGTCTTCAACACAGGTTTGTCGGCCTTGGCTGTTTCGGTTGATGCCTTATAGGAAGTTCTCCTGCCACTTCTGAGGAAATACTTTGGTCTCACAGGTATTGCAAATTCAAAAGAAAAATTTCCATTTCAATTAAGTTCCCCAGTTGACCTCTGTGGATGTGCATCTTCCCTCTCGTCCCGAAAGCAAGACTTTACCATTTCGGTAGCGGTTTCTTCAGAAACTTGTTTTGCTACCAATTGCCGCACTATATCTTCAAACAAAGTTTTTGTTTTTGTTGCCATTTTGCTTCTTAAAATCTAACTGCTTATTAAAAAAATTGCTTTCCGTAGAACAATAACACGAAAGCTTAACAACTGGTATAGCATATGTGATGTTAATGAATTTAGTGCCATTATGTTGTGACAGGACTGTCATGACATGCCTGTCACTTAAACTGACCATCTTCACGCACCATTGGATGGCATGCAATAAAGGGCAGAGCAGGCCGAGAAACTTTCTAAGGACATATTTGAAAATCCATAGAACATAACTAGACTTAGAAGTGTTAAAGTAAATGAAAAACAGAATTTTCCTGAATTCACGTAATCTATATAAGTGCAAAAACGAAAATCCTTTGAAAATGCACCTGTCCGAAAATATTTCAGAACGCTGTTGATGCTGAATAGTAAGTGAGTAAAGAACGTGTCGTTTTTACAAGCAAGTTGCTGTATTCTGTCGTAATTATAAGAAACTTAAGTTTGAAATGCTCGTCAAATTAAATGAGTGAGGGTCATGTGGCTCACGAAACACCTCATGCCGAAGATCGTTGATTTTCTTTCAACAGCAGATTTTGTTTCTTAATCGGTTTTATAGTAGCTTGCAAAGAATATCAAGGAAAAACAGACTCCAACAATTGTTCTTTCAATTCCTTCACTGGCTGCGAATTGACAATATTGGTTGTCTGGAATGACAACATAAATTGTGGGAACGAATATACAGCAATCTCGGTTTACAGTGTGACGTCAATGTAATATTTGCCAGTACCAAGTGCAACAGATCCAAGAGGAATCGGTCAAGCTTCAAGTCAGCTATGCGGGCGACAGAGCTAAAGAGATCACAAATAGAGAACAAGAAGTGCCGTCTGCATGGGCCAGTTTGCAAATGGTTTGCGAACAGCGCAAAGGAAAACTGGCCGATACTGGTGATCTGTTCGAGTTCTTCAACCTGGTGAGGACGCTGATGCAATGGATGGACAACGTGGTGAGCCAAGTGAACACCAGCGAAAAGCCGCGCTACTTCGGCGGCGTTGAACTGTTGATGAGCAATCAGAAGAGCCCTCAAGCAAAATTTAAAGTTGTCCACATTCGTTTGGCCTGATATAACCATCATCCAGGAATTACCTAATTGGGGCGATCAGGGTTTAGAAGCGGGGCACTGTAACGGAAATGGCCTGGGGTACTCACGGTTGGAGTGGGGGATCGAAATTCATGGTATTTCAGTAAATGGGAGCCCCATTTGGGCCCCATTTACTGTCAAATATGACACTGACAAGCGGTAAGTTTCGCACCTGTTCTGGAGATTTCGAGAACTATCTGGGATACCTGGAGAAAACTATATAAGCGACGACGAGAACCATGGGAAGGGAGTGAAGTGACAGCCGCGCCTGAGTGCAGAAGAGATTAAACCCCGCGAGTCGGCAACGCGTGTTTTCCGTTTGTTATTGTTATTGTTTGTGAAGTTAACGTTAATTTAGAAGTTAGTTTGTTCCTGTTCCGTAGTTAAAGTTTTACCGAGTGGAATAAAAGTTGGAAGCAGAAAAACGAGTTTGATATTCGGCCATCCACGGTACAATATTATTAAATTTTTGCTCGAATGCAAAATATTCTGTTCATTTTGACGCACGAGTGAAATTCTGTTGAATATTTTCTGAGTAAACAAAATAAATGTGGTTTCACTTTATTTATATTATATTTTATTACTATTTTCATTTTATTACTTATATTTCTTAAATACATTTTCAGTTACTTAGGAATGTCAGGATGACATTTGATCTTAAATTCAACAGACAGAAAAGACACCTGTCAAATTTTTCGTAAACAATGCAACTATCGTTGAGTTATAATTGCACATTGTTGCATAAGTGCGATTATTTCCTTCTCATGTGGAAATAAACGAAGGAAGTTTTTACAAGACAACAAACTCGAATGCAAAATTACCGATAATTTTGCACCACTTGTAAAATTACCCCCAAATAATTTCTTCATATGCAAATCTGTCAATTTAAAGTATGCAATTATCAAACAATTACAGTGATTTTCTACGACTTAATTATTTCGATAAGCTACCAATCAATATTATATCAACTTATACCCGACAAAGTTGAAATTCCATTGTCAACTGTTAATAACGTCTAGAAGTTTTCTACAAGATATGCTTCTATATATTTTTTACAATCCCTCAGATGGGCATAAGTGTGAACCAAAATGTTCCTCCTTATGAAATACAAATATGCTGAAAAGGGGGAATAAAATGAAATACAAAAGCGACCTGTGGAAATAAGTTCTTACTTAAAGAAGTACTTACTGTAAATGACTTGGTTCTGAATGAATCAAATTAGGAGCCGAAGGAAAAATTAACATGAAATTCAAACGAATAGTGGGTATTGGAACTTTGCTATATTTACACATTTCGAAAAGCATACAAATTGTAAATGGAAATATTGGCCATGTCTTGTTCATGGACTAAATACTATTTTACAGCCTAAGCATTAAAATTTGTATTCAAAGTGGATAGATAGCCGATTGAGAAGAAACTTCTTGGCGATTTAGCACTAGCAGAGCGAAGATTATTCACATCATCACATTATCAATTGGCGCCACTTCGATACTGATAACACTGCCTTTTTGGAAACCGATATTTTCTATTAGTGTTATCTGTATGGCTCTCCTTACAGGTCACTTTAAATGTGGTTTTCCGAGATCGTGGAGGTCTTCTGTTGGTCGATATTTCCATGGTGTCCAAGCATTCTCTCACTTCTGCTTCTGTGCATCGGTGGCAGTCCCTTTTCATTAATGTGATCCCCAAATTTGAAGAAAATGGGATGCTTGGGCAGTCTTTAAACAGAACGGGTCCTTGCCCTCTAGTCTTGAACACAGGTTTGTCGGCCTTGTCTGTTTCCTTTGATGCCTTATAGGGAGTTCTTCTGCCACTTCTGAGGAAATACTTCGGTCTCACAGGTATTGCAAATTCAAATGAAAAATTGCCATTTGAATTAAATTCCCCATTTGACCTCTGTGGATGTGCATCTTCCTTCTCGTCCTGAAAGCAAGACTCTACCCTTTCGGTAGCGGTTTCTTCTGAAACTTGTTTTGCTACCAAGTGCCGAACTATATCTTCAACCAAAGTTTTTGTATTTGTTGCCATTTTGCTTCTATTAAACTAACTGCTTATTAAAAAAATCGCTTGCCGTAGAACAATAACACGAAAGCTTAACAACTGGTATAGCATATGTGATGTTAGTGAAGTTAGTGCCATTATGTTACATGCCTGTCACTTAAACTGACCATCTTCACGCACTATTGGATCGCATGCAATAAATGGCAGAGCAGGCCGAGAAACTTCCTAATGACATATTTGAAAATCCATGGAAAATAACTAGACTTAGAAGTGTTAAAGAACAAAATATCTCATGCCGAAGATCGTTGATTTTCTTTCAAAAGCAGTTTTCTTTTTTCAATCGGTTTTATAGAAGCTTGCAAAAGATATCAAGGAAAAACAGTTTTGACAACTTCAAACAATTGTTCTTTCAATTCCTTCACTGGCTGTGAATTGACAACGTTGGTTGTCTGTTATGACAACATAAATTGTGGGAACGAATCTACAGCAATCTAGGATTACACTGTGACATCAATGTAATGTTTGGCATAACTTTAACCTTTTTTAAATAAATCCAGCGTTTTAATCTTGTGAGCAGCTTATATTTTTGGGAGGAAGACATAGAAATATTAAATATGGCAGTCAGAAGAAAATAAAGTAGATTATGGCTACTCAAAACCGACACGTCAGGAATATTAGGCTCTTTCTAGGATTCTAGGTCATAAATAATTTTATATAGTATAAAAAAAAAAAATCTTCCGGAAAAAAAAATTGAGAGGTGGTTTTTAGTTTACAATTCAATTTAATCTATTTTAATTCTTATATACAGGGTGTTCCACCGACAACTGCCTCGATCCATGTCTGGATAATTACAATTAATTAGGACAAATTTGAAAATTGGACAATGTGCCGAAGTCAAGCGATCCCAAACAGTTTCCCCACGGCCAATGGCCACACTTATGGTTATAGTGGAAGAAGGTATACAACTTGCTTATTTGAAATGTAACACTCAAAATATTATTACATTTGAAGCACGAGTGTAATTTAGATGAATATGTTCTGAATAAATAAAGCAAATGTGGTTTCATTGGATTTTTATTATATTTTATTACTTATATTTAATATGAATTATGAATACAATTTCAATGACTTAGGAATGTCAGAATGGCATTTGATGTTTAATTCAACAGACAGAAAAGACACCTGTCAAATATTTTTCGTAAACAATGCAATTATCGGGGGTCATTGTACAAGTGCTCCAAAATTATCGATAATTTTGATTTCAAGTTTGTTTTCTTGAAAAACTTCTATTGTTTATTTTCACATGGGAACGAAATAATTGCACCTATGCAACAATGTGCAATTATAACTCAACGAATATTTCCTTCGTATGATAATCTGTCCGTTTGAAGTGTGCAATTATCGAAAAATTACAGCGGTAATTGCACAGTGTGCAATTATCACTCAACGATAATTGCATTGCTTACAAAAATATTTGACAGGTGTCTTTTCATGTTGAATTAGACATAAAATCATTCCTGACATACCTAAGATATTCAAATTATATTTAATAAACATAAGTAATAAAATTAAAACTGTAATAAAATTTAATAGAAATAAAATGAATTAACTTTGTTTACTCAGGAAATATTCATAAAAATTACACTAGTGCATCAAAATAAACAGATAATTTTGCATTCGAGCTTGTTGTCTTGTTCGTTTATTTTTCATTCGGAACGAAAAAGCCCTCCTTCTTCGGAGTCGGGCTTTTTCGCCACAATATGAAAATAAACTCATGCAGTTTTTAGACAACAAGCTTTCATGCAAAATTATCAGTAATTTTGAAGCACTTGT